ATTCATAAGGTACCAGTCAGGTCAAGTGTGCAAAGGTGGACCTGGGATTGGCACATGCGATTAGCATCTCTCTGCTCTAACACATATTACACGTATTATTGCCATATAAAATCTCCACCTAGGGGTGTGTTTTTACTATTAAAGTGAGGAAAACATCTGTAGAAGCTAAACGGTTAACCTCATTGCGCAGGCAGGGCCCGGGAGAAGTGCCTAGCTCCCACAAGGCAGGAATCTGTAGCTAGTAGCTTCCTGAGCTTTTGGTGCTGATTGGCTGGAACTCGTCATCAAGGCTGACCACTTGGCTCCTGGTGAATCTCACCCCCGGAAGTGACAGCCTTAGATCCCATGGAAATGGCCCAAAGGGGACTCAACTCCGTGTCAGAGGCTGGGAGCTGCCTTTAGAATGTGCTATGCTCTGAATCCATACCTAGAATTGACCTCATTTCCTGTGATAGCCAGAATTTATAAACCTGGGCAGTAAGCAGTTACGATGAGGGTGATAACTCTATGGTTACATACAATGAATCACTTTCAAAAGTTTTGTTTTCAGTACCTATGACTCTGGGTTTTTGGTTCCAGGAATTTTAGTAGCTGAGAATGCCCCCCTCAGGGCTGACAACAGTGGTTTTGAACCTGACCACACCTGGCTTCTCAGGCTACTTGATGTGAAGATAGCACTGAGGTCACCGGGTTGGATTTATTTATTTGATTATCGAGAGAACTTCGTGTTGTTGTGACACACAGGACAGGAGGATCGAGGTTTGCTTCTCATAATACTCTAACAAGTAGTACAAGTTGATAGAAAATCCCACAACCTTACTGAGGCAGGACCACCAAGGAGTTCAGACAGCACAAGGATGAATTTGCCGATCAGTAAGGGGAAGTTTGAGTGAAAAAACCAGTCAAAGGTTTGTAATAGTGGCAGCAATGGTCAGTGGGGGTTGTAGCCTCAACCCCACCTCTTCATTTCCTGCAAATATACACACACAAAAGACTGACTGGAAGCTGCAGATTGTTCACCCCAACCTCCTGAACTAGGAAGAGGAGAACAGATGTTGAATAGTTAGTTCTCTCATGAAAGAATTTTGTTCCATCTCTGGGCCTTAAATGCTGACATCTTTGACTGTAGAAAGCAGACATCTACCTCTAGTTTTCTATTCCCAGGGCAGCCTGGCTTTTCAGAATGGGCTTTCAGAATTGGGATACGAGCCCCCAGTGGACCAAGAGAAAAATGGACAGCGTGCTGGGTCCCTCCTCTCCATGACAGAAGTTGAGGATGCAGGAGGTGGAGGCTGTGGGCGTGGCTCCAGCTGGAGAAGTGACAGGTGCATTTGCTGTCGTCCTTGGGGTAATTGGATCCGTAACAGGTGAAGAGAGTCATTTTTGTTTCTATGAGAAGAGGACATGTGTGTGCCGTATCTAGGGGTTGAGTGTATACAGTAGGCACAAATTCAGGTGGCTGCTTGACCCAAGACTTCTCTCTAGGGTTTGTGTTTCTATTACCCAGCCCCCTTCCAGATACCCTGACCTGAATGGTTGGTCCAGGTATACAGTCACTGACCACGCTATTCATCTTTTGGGAATGTGAAACTTTAATCAGAGACACTAGGACTCACAGTGTGTGGACTTAAGGTAGCTGGTGGCAGAGGCCTCAAGGGTCAAACCACATTTTCCTAATATTGGACATTTCCCTGGTTACTGTCCTTCCTGAATTGTGTAGATTTTATCTTTCCTTCTATCCCCTGAATTGCCCTAGTTTGCACCTACTGGATCTTCTTTCCTGTTCAAGCCAACCAGACTCCGTTTCTGTGCTTTGCAACTAAAAGAATCTCGAGTGACATGGGCATTACAGTGGGATGGCATCAAATGCAGCTAGCATGATGGACTTTCAACCATAAGAGCTCAGGGGCAGAGGGGTGGATGGATCGCTGAACAAGTCACTTAGTGTTTGTACCCTCAATGCCCAAGAAAAATCTATGAAAAAATGTGAATAATCCAAGATTTGATGAAGCATTGACAAAAAAGTAAAACACACGGTTCGGGTGCCAGCAAGTGGGTGGCCGTGGCTCTGCTGACTTCTTCAGGAAGAAGTAGATGAGTCAATCAAAGGTCAAGGAAACCTTGGCTGATGGAGAGTTAGAGGGACTGAGGCAAACATTCTGCAGGATGCTACACAGAAAGGACTCGGTAGGCCCCGGATGCACGTTATGAGTGACTTAGGGGAGTTTCTGGGGTGATTTTGTACATCCCGTTTGTCTCTTGCTCCTGCTCTGGGCTCCAGCTGAGGTGCCCGCAGGCTCCACCACAGGGAAATACTGACAATTAATGTCCCCTGAGTCAAGTCCATGGGGATAGCAGCAGTGGATAAAGGCCTTCCTCTCTCCTCCCTGGAGACAAAGATTCTGAGGACGCTTCTTGAAGGCACCTCAGAAGGTCTCGTTGCCCACATGCATGACCTATTCAAAAACCTCTCCTTGTGTCAACTTTTCCTCCTTCCCTCCTGGATCCTCAGTTCTGCTCCTAGAAGCACTTCCCACACAAACCCTCTGCACCAGAACGTTGCCTCTGGCTCTTCCTTCACAGGACCCCAGGCCACAACAGGCTACTTTAGGCAGCATCATGGCCTCCATCTTTGTGCTAAGAGTATTGGGAAGTCATTGGAGGGTTGGAAGCAGGTGCTCGATCAAATCTGTGTTCTTAGGTGGGCACGGTGGCTCATGCCTGTAATTGCAGCCCATTGGAAGGCCAAGGTGAACAGATCACTCAAGCTGAGGAGTTTGATACCAGCCTGGGCAAGATGGGGAAACCCTCTCTCTACAAAAAAAAAAACCAAAATTAGCGAGGCATTGGGGCACAAACGGATGGTTCCAATTCCTCAGGGAGTCAAGGTGGAAGGATAGTTTGAGGCCAGGAGGTCCAAGATGCGGTGAGCCATGATCATGCCATGGTATGCCAGCCTTGCAACAGAGTGAGGGTATATGAAAAAAAAGAAACTATATTGTTAAAGCCCAACCTGGCCCAGTGTGGAGCATGGTCCAGGACATGGGAGGGACAGGGGCAGGGGCACAGAGAAGACCATTCTGGAAGTTCTTGCCAGAGTCTGGGCAAAATGTGAGGACAGACTGAATGGGGGTGTTTGCTGTCTGGATGTCTCTCTTTGTCCATTGTTCACTGATCCTCTCCCAATCTGCACACAGTCCCCTCTGACACTAGGCAGCCTCAAGTGTCCCGTGTCAATCCCAGGCTCTGACTCGCAGATGGAAACCATGCCTGTGCTCAGCCTGAGACAGACATGTACAAGCTTTCCCCAGGTGCCCCAGTGGGCTTGGGGTTTTGAGGTCTCAGGGAAATGACCAGCTGGGAAAGTGAAAGTCCAGTGAGTGAGCAGGAGGGGCCATGCAAGCCTCGCTCCTGAGACCCTGGAAGAAGGATCATGAGGAAGGGAAGTCAGGCACCCAGAGCCCAGGGGAGCCTCCATCAGCACCACAAAGGCACAGCCATCAGTGTTGATTGGATCCAAGTCTCCAGAATACAAGACGGGGAGAGCCGGGTGGACCTGAGATATCACGTTGTCCAGCCCCCTTCTATAGCTGATGAGGAAACTGAGGCTCAGAGAAGCGAGGTCTGGTGACCACAAGTGGGATTCAACTCCTGGACACACCTCAACGTTCCTTGACCTGTTCTTGGCATCTCCTTTCGTTTTTTTGTTTCTTCCCCAATTAACCTCTTTCCAACACAGCATTTCGAGTTCCCCTGGAACTTCATCGGTCCATCAGTGTCCCCTGGTCTGGAAGATCACCGGCTACTTGCCAAAGCCCCCACGACTCTGCTGCCGTCACAACCACCCTCACCAGTGTTATGAGAAAAACTTGAGACTGATGGCCCCCAAAGCTTGGAAGGAGCTGCGAGACCAAAGAATTGACTCGAACAAGTCCAGCTTGGTGAGTAGGTGAGTTTATTAGGACTCACACACAGGTCACTCCTGAGCAGCGGCAGGACAGCTCTAGAGATCTGCGCTTCCTCCCAGTGCTAAGCTGCTTTCACGCTAATTTTCTGACTGTTTACTTATCGGGTAATAGCGATGGGACTGTTTTCATTGATTGGTTCTCAGATACTCTCTGGGAAGTTTGAGCTCTCAGGGACACCTGCTCCTCAGCTGGGGACCATGGCCATGGCCCACCTCCTGCCCTTCAGGGCTCAAGCAGGGGACATACACCCTTTAGTAACCTAGAGAGGACTGTCACACAACAACCACCCCAACAACCATCATCAAGAAGCCACTGGCTGACTGAGATACACGCCCTGAAGGACAAGGGAGAGAGGATGCTGGAAAGACAGAGTGACCATCACCAGGGAAAGACTTCATTCTTGGAAGGACGTCAAACCTGGGGGTGGGTCTGTAGCGGGGCCGCTGTTTCTTCTCCTGTATTCAACAGTTCTAACTCTTTGACTTTCTGCGTTTTTGGTTCTTTTCCTGGCCTCATTGCTGGTTCCTGCACACCTCCCCTGTATTCCTCCCCCAATATATTCTTCAGTCTAAAGTAAACTGCTTCTTCCCATTCCCCGCACTCTCCAGTCCCCTTTCCTTCTTTATTCCTGGCTCCAGTGTTCCTGCCTTCTCCTTGGTGCACTTGCCATCTGCATTAACCCCTCCCCTGCTGTGCTCAGCTGCAGATATGCCAAAGTCACTAACACTCAGTTCCATAAACTTTACCTCACCCTGTTTATCCACCTAATACGATGTTTGCATTTTGGCTGGTGTGGTGGCTAACACCTGTAATCCCAGCACTTTGAGAGTCCAAGGCAGGCGGACCATGAGGTCAAGAGATCGAGACCATCCTGGCCAACATGGTGAAACCCCATCTCTACTAAAAATACAAAAAGTAGCTGGGTATGGTGGCGCTCGCCTGTAGTCCCAGTTACTCGGGAGGCTGAGGCAGGAGAATGGCTTGAACCTCGGAGGCGGAGCTTGCAGTGAGCCGAGAGCGCACCACTGCACTCCAGCCTGGCGATAGAGTGAGACTCCATCTCAAAAAAAAAAAAAAAAAAAAGTTTGCATTTTGTCCTGGCCTGTGCCAGGCACACTTCCCCTGGTGGCTGCCCTGCTCTGGGGTCACAGTTCTTGGTCCGCCTGCAGAATCTCCTGGATCTTGGTGAGAATGTTGAGCTTCCCCTCCAGCTCCTGAGCTCGCTTCTTCAGCTCCTCAGCTAACTCTGACTTTGCCCCCTCTTGCAAGTGCTTTGACTCGTATACAAGGCTGACCACATCCAGCACAAGCAAGATGCCTCCAGTGGCCACACCCAGAGCCTTGTTTCCTCTGCTCATTTCCAGGGCGGGGATTTCAGTAACTCTCTCCACCTCTTCATCGCTTTCAGCTGAGATTCCAATGATCTCAAGGGGTCTGGCAGATGGTACCAATTGAGAGTTGGCTCTGGCTTCTCTGATGGCACGGATGTCCTTCCCAATGCCTTGTATGACTTGGTAAGAATTGTCAGCTAAGGAAAGAAAGTTGGGTGTGTTCTCACTCATTAATTCCTTCATCACTTTCGCTACATCAGGGTCTCTTTGGTCTAAGTTTCCGGCTTGGCGTTGTACTGACAACTTCTTTGCTTGTTCCACGATACTGCTGGTAATCCCGGTCACAGCGGCCACTATTCCTGTCCCCATCCCAGTTTCTGAGAGCACAAGGCTGACTCCATCTGTGAGGGGTGCCAGACCCAGGCCGAGGAGGGTCAGGATGTCAGAGATAACGCCGGCAGTGCTGGACACCACGTTGGTGATGGTGGTGCCTCTGTGGACCTGCTCGCCCCCGTCTGCAAGGATATAGAGCTTTATTATGTGATCCTGAAGGTCCCTTTTCAAGTGAGGAAACTCTTTCAAAAACCACTTTCTGTGCTGCTGGTCTTTATCTTGCCAGTTTTTGTCCTTCCTGATCACGTGTTCTGCAAGCTTGTTCAGAGCTTTACGGAACTCATCTGCCTCATCCCTGCACAAGGAAAGGTTAAAGGATTAAGAAATGCAGTTTCCCTGTCTGTGAAATGAGCTCCATGAGATCTCTATCCTGTGTAAATTGCAGAGCTTTCATTATCATCAAATAGAAACAAATTTTACAAATGAAGAGAATTTAAGCTCAAATATGTTTTGTTCATTATAGACACTCCTCAGTACTTATTCCATATGGAAATAAATATCTTAAAGGCATCTCAGATGCTCTTTCGTGGTAGGTGTTTGATAAAGACGCCTCCTCACTCAAGGGCAGGTCAACACCATGACTGCCAAAGTGTTTGGAGAGGGGAAAACTCTGCAGAGGAACAAAGAACAGTGAGAGTGGGACAAAGACACCTTATTCCCAGGATGGCAGCAAAGTGAAGCATGAACTTTTCCCAAAGAGAGACCTTCCCTTTGTCCTCAGCTCCTGGGTCCAGGCTTTTGGAGTGTCCTGCCTGGTAGGAACATCTTTATTTGCCTGATGATTTGGCCATGGGACAGTATAGCAATGTGACGGATGATGGAGTTTGGCGCTATTTGGTGTCTTTTCTGACCTGCAGAGGACATGTGTACTAAAGGGGTTAGACCTCAGGGAGGGACTGGAGACTCCAGGTCAGCCATGAGGGCAGCTTGTGATCCAGCCCCAGCAAATGCTCTGAACACTAAGGCATGGGTTGAGAAAGACTTTCTGTTTGACCAAACTCCAGCTGGGCTCTTCTGAGCCTCTTCACTAGGCGCCGACCTTGGCCTTTCACACCCACCCACTGCTTTCTGGTCCTACATCACCCAGTTCAGCAAGAATCGCCCTGTCAGTGTAGGGAGGGTCCTCCCTGCTTGCTGTCTGAGCACTCTTTGCTATCTGATCATGCTCTTCACTCCCACCATTGATGGGTGAGTGTCTGACCTGCCTTTAGCGAGAATCCTGTTAGGCCAGTTTGGCAGGAACATCCCACTCTGTTGTCTCCTGTCAGAACTGTTCCGTCTCCTGCCCCTCCCCCTGGTGTTGGCTGTGACTCCCTCTCTGTCTTTACTGTATTTGGAGCTGGGCTCAGTCTCCCTTCCCTGTAACAACCATCCTGAATAAAGGCTTCCTTCCTGATTTCATGTGATTCACAGGAATGTTTCCTTAACTGGGTGAGCTTCCCTGGTTGGCAGCACCCCATGTGTCTTGTCCCACATTGACACAGGAGATCACAGCGTCCTGAGGACAATGAAGCTTCACACCTGAAGCCCTCCCAGACTCTGCCCTGTGTGTCTCTTCCTTAGGCTGATTTTAATCTGTGTTCTTTCTGTGTGATAAACCACGATCGTGAAATAGCAGTTTTTAGTGAGTTATATGAATCCTTCTAGTGAATTATAAAATCTAAAGATGACTTTAGGATCCCCATTAATTTCAGGTGGGTCAAAGCTAAGGTGCCCTCAGACATTGCCGTCTGGCTACCTCTGAGTACTTTGAATTCAAACGAAACCAAACCTCAGAGAGACAGGAGATCACTTTGCCTGGCATGTGCTCCTTTCCAAGGCCTCATGCCCTTTCACCTGGCTGAAGGCTACTAGGTCCGGGCACTGCCCCAGTTGACCGGAGTGGGAGATCTGGGTATTCATTCTGGCTCCACATGGACTCTCCGGCCACCTTACCGCCTCCTGACCTGCCCCCTGCACCCCCAACCTTCCAGGTCTCACTCGCAGATGTCACCAGCCTAACTGATGCCTTAGCAGTGACAGCTTCACCTGTGTGTACGCCAAGGCCGTGTGCAATTTTATGGAACCTCTAGAAGACTCGGGACACTTTCAGAACCATCTATATAAATTGTTAATGCTGAAAAGACCTGAATTTGGACAAGATGTTAGAAGAAGTGTTTTCCTTCTTGGTTGGGGATTTGTCAGTCTACTCAGTACCCTTGAAATTACATAAATTGGCAGCAACTCATTCTACTATGGAAATGGTCACTAAGGCATACTGCTTGCCATTGTCAGGGGTTTCTCTTTGTAGAAGAGAAGAAGGTCTCAAACGGTAGCCCGGAACTTGCCAGTTCCCAGGCAGGGTGTGAGAGACACAGGCAGCCATGACCCTCTATGTCCATGAGTGTTGGGATCATCTAGACAGAGAAGAAATATTCCTCTCCCACTCACATGTCCTCTGCAAGTTCATGACCTTCTTAAGTTTCAAGCCCTTGGTGCCTCTCTTGCCTAGTCCCAGCCCTGGTGCCCCAAACTTCCCACTTGTTCTACAATCAAGGCTGACTCTTGCTGCATCCTGACTCCTGGCTCTGGTCTCTCTGGGCCTTTGGGCAGGATCTTGGTCTTGGTTCCCCACCTTTGACCTGGAGTTTACTCTAAGGCCTTCACTATACTCCTATCACATTGAATTGCTATTCCTATCAGACACATGACAGTTCTCAGTCTGCATGACATAAGCCTAGAGCCCAGGGACTGGGCACAGAACCGGAAAGAGACCCAGCGCTGTGCAACTCCACTCCAGCCTCTCAGCATCCTGGACCAGCAGAAAGGTCTTGCCGTGTTTATGGAATTCTTCAGATGAGAAAAAGGGCCCCAGCCAGCATCCCCAGGAACACGCATTGGTTAGGTCAAGATTTTTCTGAACTGTCCTAAAGAAAGTCCTGCTGAGCTCCCATCTTCAGGAAGAAGACCCTTAACCCTGTTCTATTTCCACCAGGGTTGTTAGATATTAATGTTAACTGTGCACCTACTATGTGTTAGTCATTATGCTAAGCACTTTACATGCATGATCTCATTTTTCTCACAATAAAACTTCATGGATGAAGAAAGGCTGAAAGTGAGAAAGTAACTCACAAAGTTCCCATGACCAGCAGATGACAGAAATGACCCTGTCCCTGTGGGCTTCTTGTCCCCTCAGCCTGAGGCTACGCACTGCCAGCGAAGGACAGGGAGGAAATGTTTCTCCTGGAGTGCCGAGGTCATCCTCACGCCCAGCAGAGGGTGCTGCCTGGAGGAGGTGTGTCTGTCAGGGAAAGCTAGCCCAGGGGACATCTGGGTGGCATCACTGGGGTGTCCAATGGAGGTAACCCCATGGAGGTTACCTGGTTAGTTCAGCAGTAGCCACGAATTCATTCCAGGCTTCATCATTAGTCACCAGGAGTATCAGACTCTGTGTGCTCACTTTGTCCTGGAAATATTTAATGGCATCCTCAATAAAGATGCTGCTCTCTAGTTGGAAAGAAGAAAGGATAAGGTTGGAGGAAAGTGTGGGAGTGCATAACAGCCATTGCATAAAAGGTGGTTACATGTTAATTTTCCTGGACAGCTGTGGTGTGGGATATGTTTGATGGAGTCATCAGTGCTATCAAGGGAATTGTGTGCCCCCAAAATTCATATGCTGAAGCCCTAAACTCGGGTCACTACATTTGGAGATCTGGTCTTTAAGGAAGCAATTAAGACTGAATGAGATCACAAAGGTAGGGCTCTAATTCTTTTAGAGGGCTAGTGTCCTATTATAAGAAGAGAAAGAGACACAAGAAGGCCACGTGAGCACACAGCACAAAGGCAGCCTCCACAAGCCAGCAAGAGAGTCCTCCCCAGACTCCAACCCTGCTGGCACTTTCACCTTGGACTTCTTGCCTCTGGATCTGTGAGAAAAGAAAAGCCAGATGTTGAAGTCATCCAGCCTGTGATATTTTACCATGGCAGCCTGAGAACACTGAAACACCAGGGGAGTGCCACGGTGCTTTGGGGAGGAATGAATCCCTTTCAGCTCAGCACCAACACAAAGTGAGCCTTCCAGGCGAAGGAAGAGGAAACATCCTAGTGATCACTTCTATCTGCCACATGCCTGTTGGGTGTCAAACACTTTATACCTGTGTCTTCAAAATGTGAGTTTCAACACATCATTGGGTTATGAAATCATTGGTTCAAGAGCAGCATGTTAAAAAGAAAATCAATTTGAAAATATCAGAGCGTACCAAGCATAGCAGGGGTGAGTATTGCTTTTGTGAGTTATTTCAAATACATATCCCTTAAGGTAAATTCCTGGAATCCAGATGTGTTTAGGCATTCCGAATTTTCACTATTTTAGAAAGGACATGGGGTGCATATGGTATATTCCTGACCATTCCCAGCAGAGGCTGGACTGCTCCCTGTAATCAAACCCATGCATGTTTCAACAGTGAAACAAGCAAATATTCACATTAAATGTAAAAAATAATGGTAGGCCTATAAAGAACTCAAATCAGTACAGAGCAGGATTACTCTCAAAGTCAGCTACCCCCAAAATATGTGGTTTGCAGGGATCTGGAAATTATGGAATGGCAGATAAGGAACTCGGGACCGGTATGTATTTGTGTGTGCACTGAGACACGATGTAAAATTGTTCCTTGCTGTGGACACAAAAGAGACCTCCTTCTTTTTTTTTTTTTTTTTTTTTTTTTGAGACGGAGGCTCGCTCTTTCGCCCAGGCTGGAGTGCAGTGGCACGATCTTGGCTCACTGCAAGCTCCGCCTCCTGGGTTCATGCCATTCTCCTGCCTCCGCGTCCCGAGTAGCTGGGACTACAGGCACCCGCCACCACGCCCAGCTATTTTTTTTTTTTTTTTAGTAGAGATGGGGTTTCACCGTGTCAGCCAGGATAGTCTCAATCTCCTGACCTCGTGATCCACCCGCCTCAGCCTCCGCCTCAGCTCACGCTGGGATTATAGGCGTGAGCCACCGCGCCCGGCCACCTCATTCTTAATTCACAGAAGAAGAAAGTAAAATCCAGACAGTGAGAGTTGCCCAAAACCATCAAGCAGGAAGCTCAGGATTTGACTCCAAGGCCAACGTTTCTTTGACATTGCTCCTTCAACTCCTTAACATTAAAACTCCTTATGTTTTAAAAATGCCCGTGGTTTCTGCATTCTCCCTTATAGCTTACCTGTGGGTCTATTTAAAGTTTAAAAATAATGTCTCAAACCCCACAGCATTGAGTACAACTACCATGCAAAGGGGCATGCTAGTCTTGGGCATTCTCAGATGGGCAGTGGAGGAGGTTCTTTGACGGGGCACGGGGGCGGGACCCTCAGCGCAGATCCTTGAGGCACCTCCATGTTGCCTCTGTCCTCTGCAGGCTGGTCTCAGGGTACACGGCTCCCCACTGTCACCTCTGAACCCAGCTAGGCCTGTTATTAAACCACAGATTATCTTTGTTTTGCGGGGAGAGTTTTTCTTCGGTCCCCCAGCCCAGCTCTTCCAAAGGATTCTGGGGTGGGCTGAGAGCTCTCTGCTTCTAATCTTCGCCGCCCTCCCCTGGTCTTGAACAGGACTTAGCACGGGCCAGTTTGCTGTCCAGGGCGGCTCCTGAGCAGAGCTGACTTGGTTGCCACTGCAACTCTGTAAGGGGAGGAATCCGTCCTGAGGAAATGGGGCTTAGGGAAATGAACGCAGTGCTGACTCGGCTGGGCGAGGGCCTGTCTTGTTTTTTCTTTTTCCTTCTTCACCAAAAGGAAGAAGGAAACCCAGGGTTGGATGGAGGGAACCTCCAGCACTAAATGTGTGTATTTCTTGATGGGGTGGGGCTGGTGGATATAAAAGCAAAATTAAAACAAAATCCAGCTCTGAAACATTCCTGGGCAAACAATACCTACGAGGCCTTGAGAACGGCTGTCACCCCCCTTAAACTGCAAGCTGTGGGAAACTGAACTGGGGTCACATCAGATGAGCGCTTCTGTTAGATACAAACAAACTTAACCTCGGCCAGTCACGAGCAGCCAGCTGACAGCGGGCCATGCTGAGATGGGAATACTGGGAGGTCACAGAGGAAACAAGAACTCCAGGCAGCTGGTTCACATGACGGACACAGAAGGAGCTGCTGAAACCAGCTGCAGGGACAGGGGGAGGCGACAGGCCCACAGGACCCTGACAAACAGGAAGTGGCCAATCCAGCTAAGACCAGTAAGATCCAACTCATTGCTGGGTCGGACTCACATTCACCTCACACTCAATCATACCCTCCTTGTCTCACTAAACCCCACTCCCACCCGCGCCACAGCAGTTCCATGTATGCCCGTGTTTGGTACAAAACTGCGTGTTACCCACCCCATTCAAGTTCCAGGAAATTCCCACCTCTTCCCAGAAATTGTTATGCTTAATCCACCCCTTAATTTAATAAACCAGCAAAGGCAGAAACCCCAAACCACACTGGGCCCGACTGGCTCTTCTGAGTCCGCCTGCACTCCCACCCCCGAGCCTGAGCTTCCGCTTTGCAATAAAAGCTGATTTGCTTTTGCTTTTGCTTTTGCTTTGACTTAACCTTTTTCTCTCTTCGATGTCAAAACCTGGGCAAGGCTAAGGTCCGGTCTCACCTGCATTCGGAGACCTCACTGCAGCTTCCTCTGCCCTACTCCCACAGCAAGGAAAAGTGCACTTGTCCTGTTGGGGTATGCGGAGAAGATAATCAGAGAAGGGGAAGCCATCTGATCATAACAGAAAACTACAGAGTCCATACACAGGAATAGAGATGGGGAGGAAGGTTCTGACAATGACCCGGGCCTGGGAACACGTGTGATAACTGGTTGATGATAGCTAGTGTGTATTGCGTGTCTGTGATGTGCAGGGTTCCTTACATGTGTCTCATTCGATGATCACACACAGCCCGGGAGATGGGTACCAACTTCTCATTCAAACACAGAGGAATCCACAAAAGTTAGGGAACTTGCCCGTGTTTTCACAATAGTGCTAGAGCCAGGACTTCTGCTTCAACCCCATGTCTTCAATGACTGTGCTCTACTCCCTTCAATATACTATATTGAGTCATGTATACACGCTCATGGGAAATGACTCCTCATTGCAAATCCGTGTCTCACACTCTGTGCTCAACTCTTCGTCTTGGTGAATTCACTGCTGCTGCGGCGGACAGCCTGTGTCCCCGTCGCTTCTCTAAGGTCCTCTGTCCCACAAAGACCTGGATCCTACCAGATGCCGGCGCAGCCCCTGCTGTGGCTGCCGAGCCCTCCTGGCACTGCCCTGTCCCCTCTGCTGTCCTCTCTGGCTGATGGACCTTAGGGTGTTTCTAATTCTTCATATAAATTATGCTACAAAGAACATCCTCCTTCGCGTAAACCTTTGTCCACATTTGATTTTATTTCCTAAAGATATTTGTAGGAGTAGAATGACTAGGTCAGAGGCTATCAACATCTCAAAATGTTTTATACCTAGAGCCACACTGCATGCAAGTTGTACCAATTCACACTCGAACTAGCAGTACATGAAGGTGCCCATTCTCTCAGTCTCACTGGCTCTCAGTAGTCTCTTCTTTAGGACAAACAAACAAACATATACACAACATATAAATATGAAAACTAAATATACTTGTTATCAATACCAATTAGTACAAAATTTAAAGCACAAAGGTAGCAGTTGGGATGTGAAGCACTGAACGAAGGAGAAAGGAGGATTAATATTGTCATTTTTTAAAGAGGGAAGGTAAGAAATACTGGGTACAACTGAGGGCATGAGAAAGTTGTAGGTAAATTGTTTACAGCTACAAAGTTGCTAATGCAAGACAAAAATCTGGCAATAGAATGTTAGGAAAAGGTGGAGGGGAGAGATGGAGGGTACAAATAAGACGAAATGACTAATAATGATACTATAATTAGTACTAATAATACGGCTTCAGGCCCATCGCAGTCAGGGGCGGCTCCAGGCATTACCATTTCTCTTTTCTCACCGTGTGTCTCTGCTCACTCCCTGGCACACCCACTTCCAGCAGCTGGTCTTTGTTTGCAGCCTTTATTTTCACAGCTCAGTGGTTTCCGGGCCCCCTGATGGGGTTCCATCCTCCAGCTCTCATACAAAAGCCCCCTCTCAAAAGCCACCCACCTCCCTCTTTCCCCTTCCTGCCTTTATCCCAGGGTTCAGACACACAGATGTCTGTCTTCTGGGCCCCCATGCAGCAAGGGTAAAAGGGGGACCCAGTCCTGGGCAGCAGCACACCAGGGCAATATGCAGTGGGGCGTCTGGGAACTTCTTGCTATAAGGGACAGGGGTGACAGGAGAGGGGGTTCCCTTCCCCTTGTTCCTGCTTTGCTCACTGTATGACCCCCTGAGCCAGGACAGCCATTTCAACACCATCTCATGATCCGTGAGGACACAGGAGGACCAGGAGAGAGCAGAGGAGCAGGAGGGCAGAGAGAGCTGCGGCCTCAGACTCGCCCAACACTTGTGAGGAGCTGCACCCAGGATCCCATCCTCCTTGGTCATTGTTGGCCTGGCTCAAACCCTGACCTGGGGCCTCTGCTGAATACCGAGGCTGGATATTGCCCCTCAGGCTTGACTAGGACACAGCAGGTCCTCCCCGGGCGAGTCTGCTGGTTGGTCTATTCCGGGAAATGGCTTTGGTTCCTAGAAGAAGCCCACATGGCGCCTGGCCCAGCTCAAGCCCTCCCCAATTGTGCAGGCCAGACAGGGAGCCCTCCCTCCTGCCTCAGGGCTCTGAGCCAAGCTCACCAGATGCAGAGGACAAAGACTCTCAGCAAAGCGTTTCCCTCATTGTTGCGGGCTCCAGGGCCTCCTCCTTGGGCAGGAAAAGAGGAGTTGAGACGTGTGCTCCTCCTGAGAAATCACCATTTTCATTTCATTTTTGAGAGACGGTTGTGCTCTGTCGCCCAGGCTCAGGGCTTTGGTGCCATCATAGCTTGTTGCAGCCTAGAGCTCCTGGGCTCAAGTGATCCTCCTCCTTCAACCTCCTGAGTAGCTGGGACTACAGGTGCACGCCGCCATGCTGGGCTAATTTGTTCATTTTTGATTTCATAGACACAGCGTCTCCTGTGTTGCCCAGGCTGTCTTGAACTCCTGGCCTCTAGTGATCCTCCCTCCTCTGCCTCCCACAGCACTGGGGTTACAGGCTTCAGCATCTCTTTTTGGTGAAGAACAAATAAGACCGTGACTCAGATTTCACAGAAATTTCCCCCCTGATTTCATGTAATTTTGGCAGCTCTATCAGGATTTCAAGAGGGGAAAATCTCAGGCTGGGAGCGGAGGTGACTTGCCCAGAGTCACACAGCTCTTGGAGGACAGAGGGGAGGCCAACATCTGGCCTTGTGACTCTGATATGGAAGCAAAAATGGGTGATTTTAGTAATCCAAAAATGTCCAGGTTTGATTCTACTTCTACAAACACAGAGATCTAAACTTACACTCCTGTGGTTATGATCACAGTTCCACAGTGTGGCTTTTGAATCTCATGATTGCAAAGCTGGCATCACGCCACAGGCACCATTCTGCAAGGCGCCCTGCTCACTCCCCTGTCTCAGCCATGTTTCCCATTAGGGACACAGCACAGCCTGTTTCTTCTCCATCCCCCCAGAGGTCTGAATAGAGGGACAGCGGTGAGGGCCAGAGACGTGGAGTCCTATGATCTACCCGCTCAGCCTCCTGACGCTGGACCCTCGG